TTCCCTGTAACTAAATTAAAATACAAGAAAGTTAAAAACCATCCTTTCTTAGGAATTTAAAAATAACAAGAACTCCTTTGAGAACTGGCATAACTACTAGTCCCCTATGGATATGGAGTCCTTAAAAAAAAATTGTACCCTAGTTAATGCAGCTTTCAAAAGTGCTTCCTTTATTTTTAGGAGGACGCGCCCTTCCCTGCATCTAATTTGCCATCCCGTGTGTGGGGAGTGCCTGTCTTATAAATGGCTGAAAATTTCCTAATTTGATAAAATGAAGCAAGAAAACTCAAGAATCTTTGTAAAATGGAGTTTGTAAACCCAAAGAATCGAGAGCTTGCTCTGAAATTTTGTGTTTATGTGACTCAATTCTTTTGCAGTCAATACAAGCAAAACCTCTAGTCGATATAGGTGAAATATCTACTGACTAATTTTTAGGAATTTTTATAAGAAATAACAGAACATGAAACTTTAGATTTGCATGACACTAGAGCTTGTGTCATTCAACCTGCTATTTTTTTTTTTTTTTAACTTGAGGAAATTGAAGCCCGAAGAAGTTGTTACCTGTCCAAAGTAGCTGATACTCACCGGACACTAAGACATTTTCTTTATATATTTCAAAGTATACAAAGTATTATGTCCTGTTTTCATCATCTATGGCCGTGTAACAAATCACACCAACATTTAGTGGTTTAAACTATCAAACATTTAAAATCTCAGTTTTTGTGGATCAGGATCTGGGTGCAACTTAGCTGGGTGGTTCTTGTTTAAGATCTCTCATGAGGTTTCAGTTCTGCTGTCAGCTGAGTCTATAGCCTCATCAAAAGGTTCCATGGGGCAGGGGGACTCTGATTTCAAGCCAACTCATATGGTTTTTGGAAGGCCTCTGTCCCTGGTCATGTGCACCTCCACACGGCTGTCCCATGACATGACAGCTGGTTTTCCCCAGGACAAGAAATGCAAGAGAAAGAAAGAGAGAGAGAGAGAGACAAATGGAAATTATAAACTTTTTATAACAAAATCTTGGAAGTAACATTCCATCACATTTGTTTTTCTCTGTTAGATCTGACTCAGACTAAGGGCAAGGTTCTAGATAGGATGTGAATAATAGGAAGGAGGAATCATCAGAGGCCATCTTAGAGGCTATGCATACCTACCACAAGCCCAGAGAAAATATTCTCCAAGTACTTGTCAAGTAAATTAAAAGATATATTAGTTATTTAACTCTTTCCAGTAAAATATCTTACATGATAAAATTGGAATACAAACCCTTAATTAAACAGTAGTATTCTGTGTGTGTTATTCTTGTTGATCTTATACTTGGAGTGGTCATATAAGAGAGTGTTTTTACACTTAGGAAATATGCAGTGAAGTTTTAGGATTAAAAGGGAAGATGGTTCAAACATACGTGCACACACAGAACAAGAGAGGGAGAGAGAAATAATTTAAAAGCAAACATGGCAAAATGCATACGATTGGTGAATTGAAGTAAAGAGTTGAATTAGTTTTCTAGGGCTGATTTTTCACAAATTGTCATGATCTTGATGGCTTTAAATAACTTTCTTACTGGAGTCTTGGAAGACAGAGGTCTAAAATCAAGGTATTAGCAGGGATAAGCTCCCTCCAAGAGGCTATAAAGGAGAATCCATTCTTTACCTCTTGTAGCATTTGGTGGCTATCAGCAGGATGCATTGACTATGACTGGGAGATCCTGATCTCTGTCTCTGTCTCCCCTCTGCCTCCCACTCTTCACTGCGGATCTCTTCTGTCTCCCTCAAGTCTCACTCTGCCTTTCTCTTATAAGGATACTTGTCACTGGATTTAGCACCCATCCTAAACCAAGATGATTATCTCATCTCAAGATGTTTAATTTAATCACATCTATAAAAACCCTCTTTCCAAGGAAGCTAACATTACTAGGTTCCAGGGATTAGGCATGGACATATATTTTTGGGGGCTGCCAGACAACCCACTATATGAGTATAGAGAAGTTCTTTGTACAATTCTTGCAACTGTTCCATAAGTTTAAAATTACTTGAAAGCAAAATATTCAAGAAGAAAAAACAGATTACGTTGTCAAGTGCTGTAATAATCCAGAGAATATGGCATCTGACAAGCTTTCTTTTAAAGATAAAACTTTAAAAATATGTACAGATCTATCAAATTGGAATAAGGTGTTTTGTGAATTTGCACCTCATCATCATTCATTGTTTGAAGTCAGTGGAGATTATGTAATGTCAAAACTCTTTACAATGTTGTCTGGCCTCTCAAACATTTGCTTTAATCTTCATGGAACATTTAGGATATCAAAGGTCACTTTTCTTTCAAAAGGAAGAACTGTGTTCCTGATTTTGCTATCTTTGTAAAAAGACTAAATGAGACTTTCCATGATGTTAATTGCCATAAGATGACAACTTTTTAGTAGGGTCTTGAAGCCCAAAGGAATATTTTTGTTTTGTATGTTTGATCTTGATTAGTTTGTCTTCTTTTCAAAAATGTATATTGATCTTAAGAATCACCCCTTTTTAAAATTTCTTTAGTCATCATTGTGCCCTAAATTTGATTGTTTCTTAGCTATATGTTGAGTTAAAGTGGCCTTATACAGCATCTCTGCTGTATAAAATGATGAGTGAATGAATCCAATCATGTAAGTCTATACTAAATGATAGTTGAAACCTTGAGGACCAAGGTGTGCATTCCATTTAAGCAACTGCAGAAAAAAATATCTCTCTCACACACACACATACACACACAGTCACACTCACATATACCTAGAACAATTTTAATCCCAGGGGAGTGGGGGGTGGGGAATGGAGTGGCTAATGGGATAATGATGGAAGACAAAATGTTTTGCTAACTATAGGAATTGACTACTTAACAATTGGGATCAGTCACTCCAGTTCACATAAGCTACTTGAAGCTTGCAGATTGTGTTTTTCAGTGTTCTATCCTCAGCACATTCTTTATGTAAAGTAAATATTGGCTTTGTAGATGTATGTATCATGAGTGATTTGAGGAATTAATTCACACAACAGCCAAACGTAGCCAAGCATAAATGTACTGGAGTTAAATCAAATCATCATGGGGATGATGGAACTTACCATCAAATGTGTGTGCGTGTACATGCATGTGTGTCTACACATTCGTATGGCGCTTTTTTCTTGGACATTCTTTAAAGGATTGTGGAATCAGTCTCTAAAGCTGAAAGCAAATTCAGGTGGTCATCTGGTTCCATGCCTTTTTTCAAGAGACAAGCAATTATTATCCCCATGATCTATTAAGCCACATTTTCTTTAGCATGTGACAGCTAAGGTGATGCTGATCGAAAAATATTGCTCTCCATTCTTAAACAATTTCACATGCACATAGATGTTTAACAAGTGCCTTTTTGGAGCTATTATGAGAAAGCACTAGCAGCCTTGGTCTGGAGGAGTAATTTATGACAGCGAGGTAAAGGGTGTCCAAGATCATCTTGATCACATTAGCCATGCAGTAGCCCTACCCCTGCACTGCGGTCTCTTTAACCCTGGTGACAAGAGTGATAAAAAAAAAATAACGACACAGTGAGTCTTCCTTTAGCTGCTCACTGCGTTGCTCCTTCTAGTACCTGCCGCCTCAGATAGCCTGTCAGTAAGTGAACGGGAAAGGGAGTGGAAGGAGAAACTTCGGAGGAGTGGGTGTGTGATATTAGAGGCAGCTAATGGATGGCTTGTGTCCTGTACTCTCCTCCCCAGCCTTTCTTTCCTTTTGGTTTGTTAACTAGAAATGTGGAACAGTGAGGGAGATGAATTTAACTTGTTCTGACATTAGTTAGAGACAGAGAAGTGTGGCTACTTCCGTAATATTTCTGCCCCACAGAGAGGTAATTGGAAAACGTGTTGTATGGTTAGGTGTTGTAATGAAAAATAAAGGAATGATTGAGAACAGTGGAATCAAATTATAAGCATAAAGGCAAGTGTGCTGAAGTTTTTAGCCACTTGCAAAATTGAGAGATACTATCAGTACTGTGCAAATACATTGCTCTGATTAATTTTCCTGGGGTGAAATATGAAAATATTTATAAAATTGAGAATCCTGCCATGAATAAAATTTTCTCTGTGATATAATAAACTAAGCCATAACTTGTATCTATCTTAAATGAAACTGTAAAAATGTTTAAATAATAAAGAACTGAATGAAAAGATTTCACTGGGTGAGTAAAAAGAATTCATATCAGGACATTACTCCAGGTTGCTTAAAATATTGAAAAATATTCAATAAATAAAGACTAATTTATCTTAGAGGGTTTTATATTTGATTTTCTAAATATTGTTATGGAAGTTTTGTTTTATTCCCCTTTCTTTAGACTCCTTTTTCATGTATAAAGGACTAGTTTTTTAGTACGAAGGTAAAAGGGATTCAGGGTCAAAGAATTAGATCTTTAATTTTAATGATATTAAGTAATTCAGTTTTACTTTAGTGAGAAAATATTTGATTTCAGTTTTTCTTTTTAGTTGTAAAATGACAAATTTCAGTTGTACATTCTTTTATAGATTCTTTAGGAATATATTTGAACAAATCATGGATATAAAGGAGGGGTTAATTGAGAAACATACTAATATACAAAGCATTTCTTTTATATGAAGCTCTAGAAATATTCTATTGTCAATCCAAACAAAACAAACTAAAATGAGATAATTGGGAAGGTGCCCATAAAGTCAGCCTGAGTATATTATCACAACTATATGTGAGATAATATTTGTTTTAAAAAGATTCTATGGCACTGTAAACTCAGTCTCATTAGAGACTGCATTTAAAAGGCTTATAAAGTTACTCATTAATGTTATCTTGTTGTATCTCCACAGCTTTTTCATTAAAGAAAATTCAGCAGAAAGCATTTTCTCCTGATAGCAGGAACCAATTTGCAATAAATGTTCTGGAAACCACTAGGGAAGCCATTACTGAGGTCTAATAAAAACAGACAAGCGTAACTTGTTCTATATTTTTGTTTCAATCACATACAGATGAGACCCCGCTTTCCACACCAACCGCAAGAGACAGCCTCGACAAACTTTCTCTAACTGGGCATGGACAACCACTACCTCCAGGTTTTCCACCTCCTTTCCTGTTTCCTGATGGACTGTCTTCCATAGAGACCCTTCTGACTAACATACAGGTAGGCCTTGTTTGTCATCTGGAAGGTAAACACGTGGAAGATCCAACTGTAGATTTTTCCCAGATTCCTACAATTCCAACTTAGATAATCTGTTCATGGGTTTGACCGAAACATGGCATTGGACCATTTCCAGCAATTTAAGATTTTAAACTTGCTACGCTAATCAAGTTGGTTTAGAAATACTGATACATGTATATTCAGCCTTAATAAAAGCTTTGATGAAAATGACCTGGACATTTGAAAAATCATTCTGCCTAAATGTTCTCCTTATTGCCAGCTTGATGGGAAGAATCTAACTGTTTAAGTTTGTCTGATTTACTCAACGACGGCACACCAGTTCTAATAAATATTTAGTTATTTTTAAACTGCTGGCCTTCCAGTGAGGAAATGATATGTTTAGTCACTTAGAATATGTCTAATATAGAAGAATCCAAAAAATCCCTTCTTTCGTAAATAAGTTTGTTTCAGTTAATAGGATTTCTTCAAAGAATAGACTTCAAAAAGCTATACAAAACTTTCCACGGATTTCCTATGTAGTCCTCAGGATGTATATTTTACGTACAGTACATTATGAATCAAAAATACTTACAGTTAACAATAACATAGAGCATGGAGCCAAAATAAGAGTGTTTGGGATACAAGAAAGCATAATTTTCTTGCCCACACATGAAGCGATCATGTGAACCCCAGATGGAGATTTTGGCCATCTACTTCTCCATATTTGGAGTAGCTAATTATAAGAATGTGCTTGTAGATATTGTGCTGTTAATTTTTTTTTTTTAAGTTTTACTCTAGCTCTCGATTCTTAGTGGATATTTTTCTGTACACATTTCCTACCATATTAAACTTTCTCCCAGTAGAAATGTAATTAATTTTATTTACCTCTCCAAGGACATAACAGAAGGCCTTTAATGTAACATATCTTCTCATCTATTAATGTGGCATTTTTAATACTAATGTAATTAGAGTCTCCAGAACTGTATTCAACTTTAAGGTTTTATATCTTGGTAATTGAAATAAATCATCAATCTAGCCTTAACTTAATCAAGGCCAAATAATTGATTATATTTAAAAATAAGCATAGACTTGGGGTGCCTGGATGGCTCAGTGGGTTAAGCCTCTGCCTTTGGCTCAGGTCATAATCTCAGCGTCCTGGGATTGAGCCCCACATCGGGCTCTCTGCTCAGTGGGGAGCCTGCTTCCTTCTCTCTCTGCCTGCCTCTCTGCCTACTTGTGATCTCTCTGTCAAATAAAATCTTTAAAAAATAAAATAAAATAGACTTTTTTTTTCTAAATTTGACCCATATTATTATTTTCTTATGTGGTAGAATTTTTAATGAATTTCTCTTTTGTGAAATTAAATGATTTCAGAAAATACCCCTCAACATTTCTGAATTTATACTCTGAAAGGAGGAAATAATTAATTTTGTTATGTTTACAGCTCCTTATGGAGCAAAGAAAAAGCTAAGGGTTTACATAAAATTCTCTATCCAGTTGTATGTATCTTCATTAACTAAAACGTCTTTAAGCAGGAAAGTGGTCATTTAATTTAAGTTTCAGTGGAGAAAACATTTCTGGGTTTTATCAGTATACCCCAGCTTGCCCATCTGAAAAGTGGGTGTACACATGGACTCTGGCATTTTAAGTCAGATGCTGTCTGTTTGGGTGTATTATCCACCACCCTACCCCCCACCACACACACTGGAAATGAATCTACATCACCTAAACTATAATTATTTCTTAAAAAAAGAAGAAGAAAGAAAAGAAAACTCCAGTTTTAAAAAATGTACATATTTTAGACAAATATCTTATTGAAGGTATCTCTAGACTTAATATACTCTCCTTTCTGACCTTCCAGCCAGTCTTGTGGACATATTTTAGCAAGAGTTGATGATGGGACAATAGTCAAGGCAAACTACATTGTTTATTGCTAGTCTCAAATCACAGGGATCTGGGTTCATCAAAGTTAAAACACCTACAGTAAGAATACTTTGTTAAGAATAAATTTTGCTTGTCCCTTTCAGTGCATTCACATATGTGTACATAAGATGAAATAAAAATTAAAAATTTTACTGAGTTCCATGCATAGGAATACAAACATATACACAATACATGCATGTACACATATACGCATGTACACATATATACATGTACACATATATACATATACACATATACATGGGATTTATGTTTAGTAATGGTTTCACATCATTTTTCAAAAGGTTATGAATGTTAGCTTTTTTTAATTATTGCCACATTTATTGAGTTATAGTAATATCCTAGGAACGGTATAGAATATTTAAGTAGTCATGACCCTGGCTTATTGGGCATACAATATAAATGTGTTTGCTGCCCAAATTCTAATTTGAGTAATTACATTCTGCCTACCTCAATTTCCTCTGCAGTTTCAATTATATATAACAGGGTTCTCTGCTTTCTATTTCAAAATGGTAGCATATTTTTGTGTAGTAAATTTAAAGATTCATATTTCTTGGAGCTATTTTATCAGGGTGGCAATGAAAAACATTTGAGTTAAAAATGTTTGCATGTTTCAAATCATACAATACCATGTATGGAATTAAAGCTTTATTATGTATTCTTACTATTTTAATTAAATCAAAGACATTGAGTCAGATTTAAATTTAATGTTTAGATGTCTCTTTTTTCTTATAATTAATGACCAAAAGCCCTTTAAAACATGTTTAAGTGTTTATTGTTCCAATATTAAATAATTTAATCTTCTGATACTCTATAATTTGATAAATCTCAATTTTAAAATTGATAATGGTTGGTACAGTTGTCCCTGCCATGACATATCAAAATTGAATTTTCATAAATTTTTTTCTTTCTGTTTTCAAGGAGGACCTGTAGAAAAAGACTACATACTAGTATTTTCAATATACCGTATATACTATACATACTAAGTATGTATCTACAGTATAATAATTTCACTTTAGCGAGTGATATGTATTCATTCCAGGTTTTCTTTTTTAGGATTTTAAAAAATTTTGTTTTATGTGGAATTTTTTTTTTCTCAGTAGGCAATCTTTTATTATGCCTTCCTTATTCAAACATGTCCACGGAGAACTCCCTGTGAAATTTTAGGGGAGGATACTAGAATTTTAGTGTCAATTTACTGAATGTGACCCCTTCAAACATTGACTACCCAATTAACAAACACACTTAAAGAAGGATTTTACTCTCTTTTCTTAATCTGAGCTTTCATGCTGTAAATCAGAGCTACAATCTGTTTGTGCACAGGATTGGGAACAAATAATTTACATTGTTTGTCTTATTATAAGAATTAATTAAAATGACTTACAAATATTAAAATAGGAATAGGTAAATAAATAAAAAAAGAAAGGTAAAATAAGGCAGAAAATATAAAAATTAGTTATAAATGAGGTTAACATTGAACATATATACCGTAGGGGGTATATGATGAGAGTTTGGTTCACTATGATTTGTCTCTCTGGAGGAATTAAATAAATAAAGGAAGACCTAAAAGGATAAGAATTGTTAAAACCACAGTATATAGCAAGTCACATATTGAATCACTATGGTCTAATAAATACGCATAATATAACTATGGTACTTATGAAGTACTCTCTAATTTCTGTGTTTGACAAAAGGAAATGAAGAAGAATCTGACTTAGTGTTAAGACCAAAATACTCGGATTATGCATCTTCCAATCTTGACATTTCAATGTTATGGCCAATGATATTATATTTTATACATTTAAAAGAAGTTAATAGTTTTGTATTTGCATTTTTCATACATCGTTTTAATTATAACAGAGTTAGACAAAATACTCTGGAGGAAACTTTCAAAAAGATAAACAACAAAATAGGATATTGGCTTCAAAATATGGGTAGACTAAGATCAGATATATTGGTGTTACATTTTATCTTTTTATGTTTAATCATACTTACATATTCTGTCTGTTTTTTTCTCATTACCAATTTGTGAAAAGAGTTCATTAACAAACAAACAAACAAACAGTGAAATATGTCTAATATTCTAAAAATACAGTTTACTCTGGTTAAGAGAATAGCATTAATCTTTTAAAAGTCTGAATTATATACCATACTCACTAATGTATATTGTATACCATTTCAATAATAATAATGATAATAGTAAACACTAATATTTATGGAACAATCTTCCTGTGTCATTATATAGGAAAGCTACTCCTGTGTGTGTCTTCTACTCTCAGTAGAAACATCACTTCCCTTCTTACATTTCTCACCAAATGTCTGGTAGTTGTTTCCACATCAAGCCATTCTGCAACACCAGTTGGATTCCCTACAATTTAACTCAGTTCTGACACTGTCTACCTGGAGATAGCCTCAGCTCCCACAGGGTATGAGTTCAGTCCTACGAGATTGCCACTTACCCAAATGTCAGATGCCAGTTGCAAATCCAGGTTGCAGCCTGTGCTCCTGACCAACTGGCTATTGATCAGAGGTTCCCATCACCCCCTCCTTGGGTTCAGTTAATTTATTAGCGCAGCTCACAAAACTTAGGAAAACATTGTACTTGCTAGGTTACCAGTTTATTTTCAAGGGATATAACTCAGGAACAGTCAGATGGAAGGTATGCATACGGCAAGGTACGTGGGAAGGGGTGAAGCTCTCGTGTCTTCTCTGAGCACACGACCTCCCCAGTACTTCCACAGGATGACCAAACCAGAAACTCTTTGAACTCTGCCCCTTTGAGTTTTCCTAGAGGTTTCATTATTTAGATATGATTGATTAAACCACCCATAGTTGGTGATTAATTCAACCTCAACCCCTCTGTCCTCCCAGAGGTCAGGGGGGTAGGGGTGAAAGTTCCAACCCTCCAATCACAGAGTTGGTTTCCCTGACAACCAGCCCCCATCCCTAGGGCTTTCCAAAAGTCACCTTATTAAAATAAACTTACGTGTAGTTGGGGTGGGGTTTATGAATAACAAAAGACAGCCATTTCATCTTTACACTCTTATCAGTTAGGAAATTCCACCCATTGTAGGATCTTTGTGCTCGGTTGGGATGAAGACCAAATATGTATGTTTCTTTCTTCTTTCCTTTCTTTCTTTTTTAAAAAATATTATTTATTTGGGAGAGAGCAAGAGCTAGAGAGTAAGCACATAAGTAGGGGGGAGGGCAGAGAGAGAGGGAGAAGCAGAGTCCCCTCCGAACAGGGAGCCTATGTGGAACCCATGACCCTGGAATCATGACCTGAGCTGAAGGTAGACACTTAACCACCTGAGCCAGCCAGGCACTCCCCCAAATATGTTTCTCATTATAAACCACAATATCTACAGCCCATCTCTATGCTAATTCTATATGATATTACACTGTCTCATCTTCATAATCCTATACAGTGGATTTCATGATCATCCACATTTTACAGATGAGTCAAATGGAGTATTGTATGATCAAGGTCATACAATGGTGGTGGAGTCTGGATTTAAACATAGGCAGGATAATTACAGAGCCCATGTTGCTATATAGCCATACATGATCGCCTTACATGATCCTATGAATCACAAGATGGGTTTTATACCTGGAAGTGCTTTTGAGGGAGTATCCATTATTGACCGATTTTTGAGAACAGGAGTCATAGCATTAAACTAAGAATTGTTGTATATTTTGTTATAAGGGCTCCTGTGAACATGCATTAATTGATGCTGCTCTAGTGTACATTTGTTTCTCTATAAAAGTTCCTGGTTTCCAGGGACACCATTGCTTCTCATCCTGGAAAGAAACATTAAAAGGAAAAACATAAATAAGCTTGGTAACTCTCACCTAAGCTTAGTCAATTTACTAGTTTGGGATTTTGAGCTAGTCATCTGATCTTTCTGAACCTTGTTTTTTTTTTTTTTTTCCAGCTTTCAAAGGTTTTAATCGGAATGAGCAAATCACTGAAATCAACTTCAACTTAGATATTTACTCTCATTAGAAGTAATGCATTCTTGAGCAGAATTTTGTCACATTAATTCCAGTGACACTCAAAGAACTTCAGTGACCATATGATTCTGAAAAGTTTTTGTATAAAATCCAAACATGGCCAAGTAAACTTTTCCTCTAGGATCCAACTAGTAAATTAGGAAATGTTCGCCTTCGTTATCAGTATTACTTTAACGTCTCTTATACAAGAAGATACTTGCACTATCTAGGCTATAGAAGTTAGTTGAAAACTTGTTAAGTCAATTACAATGCCCTTCTGAAAAGAAATATATATAGACTCGTTCTTTGGGAAATGCTTAAAATAATCTAATTTACAAGGTAGATCATTTTAGAAAATGAAAACATTTGTATATATGACCACAATTATGTCTCACCTATGGGAGAGAAATTTGAGGCCAACCGACCATTGCCTCTTATTGCTATGCCACAGAGTAAGCTTAAAACGCATTTCTTCGGAATTGTCATTGTCGAACATCATAACTGACCTCCCCCTGGAGAAAAATTCATGTTTTAAACCTTGTGTCTTTTGCTGTAATTCATCATCACAGAATTGTCATCGCAGAATTTTGCTCAATACGGCATGTCCACATGAGACTCAGCATTTAGTATGACCTTTGCATATGATCTACCTGGAAAATTTACAGAAGTTACACAAATCTGAAAGTATTATTATCACTGATGGTTAAAATGGTGTCCTAATGATTTGTGGACGTTTCGAACCCTACTTGCTCTTGCTTTTCCCAGCCCCCTGCTGCACTGAAATTTAATCGGTTTTTCTGTATTTTTGCAGCAAAGCTGTCACAGGCAATAACATATTTTTGCATATGTATCAGTTTGGCTCTAGTGCAGATTTTCGTTCACACTGGACTCCTACTGATATGCACTGATTTAAAGTCTAAAAATGAAACTTAATTTTATATAGCTTATAAGGAGTCCCTGGAGAGTATTGGATCTTAAAGCTAGTATTTTTCAGACATAATCAGCAGGAATAGGTAATGTATTACCATTAGGGACATTAGCAGCAACTGTAACAAAAGAAAACAGTAAACATAAATGCTCTTAGCAATTTCATACGTTACAACAAATATTAATGTAAAATTACACAAATTAGAGATGCAGTTTAACATTATTCAACATGTTTATTCATAATGATTGTTTCATATTTAAAGAACACCAAAATATTGTGTTTTGTCAGCCAAGGACAATAATAGTTTAATAGTAATTTATTTTAAACAGCTACTGATAATACAACCAATCAACACATTAAGTGGTGCCAACATTGGCATCTTGCTAAATAATCTCTAGACATTGCACAGAGAGTACATCTTTCAAAGATAAGTCAACAAGAGCAATCAGAGCAGAAAATTAGAATTTGGTATCTTAGAATTAAAATACAGCTAAACTAAAGTTTTAATTGGGGTGATCTAAAAGGGCACTTGATGTAATGATCTCTTTCATTTGTTACTAATTGTTTGTTCCTGATGAAGAAGAAACATACACAGGAATGTTGCTGAATTGAGTTAAGATGGCAGTTTCCTTAGCAGCTATGTTTTATTGTTAAAAACAAAAAAGAGTAGGGAGGGGCAAACAACCATGTAGAAACCCTCCAGCTCGTTTCATATCACAAGAATTATACCAGGAAGTTCAGGGTCAGGTATAACAAACATGAAATAATTTATATATGCTTGAAAAGAGATTAAATGGCTTATGATAATGTTACATAGGTGAGCTGATCTAAAGGGACACCTCTGTCAGGCTAACAAGTCAAGCCAGAGTAGAAATTCCCAGTTCAGACTGCTTATGTTGTCTCCTGCAAGAGGGGTCGTATTCTAGAGTATATCTATAAATGGCCCCACTTCCGCTTCATTTATAATTTCAGTTGAAAATTTTAGTCTCCATGGGGCACCTGGGTGGCTCAGTCTATTAAACATCCGACTTTTGATTTCAGTTCAGTTCATGATCTGCACTCAGTGTGGAGTCTGCTTGAAATTCTCTCTTCCTTACCCTGGGCCTCTTCCCGGGTCTCTCCCCTGCTTGTGCTCTCTCTCTCAAATAAATAAAATCTTTAAGAAAGAAAGAAAGGGGGCGCCTGGGTGGCTCAGTGGGTTAAGCCTCTGCCTTCAGCTCAGGTCATGATCTCAGGGTTCCGGGATCGAGTTCCGCATTGGGCTCTCTGCTGAGCAGTGAGCCTGCTTCCCCCTCTCTCTGCCTGTCTCTCTGCCTACTTGTGATTTCTCTCTCTCTGTCAATAAATAAATAAAATCTTAAAAAAAAAAAAGAAGGAAAGAAAGAAAATTTTAGTCTCTGATGTTCACAGACCAAATATCTCCTACTTCAAAAAGGTATTTTGTATTGCTGAGTTGATAAGGATAGAAATTTTAGCTCTAATTTTTACTAATGATTTTCTAAAGGATTTTAGGAGAAAACATGTGTAGAATACTTGTTCTGTGCTTTACATGTTCTTATAATCTCGTTTTCAAGAATCTCAGAATATTACAAAATTCTTTGATTAGCAAAGAGTAAATCAATGTACATGTATACCCCTTATACAAGAAATTCTATTATGTATTGTATAAATAAACTTTACTTTTACCATATACTCTTGAGATATACTGTCAAATAGTCCCCTAAAAGTTATTCTCAGTTTATTATAACCATTTTAAATTACTTTTTAAAAATAATGCACTAGTAACACACTAGGTTTGGGATCCCTTGCATATATTATATACCTCAAGAAAAATATACCAGTACTGTAATTTCTAGTCAAAAAATTTTTAGAATCTACTATATGTAGGTACTCTCTGGACTCCACGGGACAAAGGACCATATGAGAGAAAATGTCCCTGCCTCAGAGAGTTTACAGTTAGTGCAGAAGACCCTGCATAAAGTGATAAAAAAATACATGAATACATGAATGACAATATTACACGATAATAAATGATAGGAAGAATTCTGAGCAGGGAATAACAGAAGGCTATTCCAGATAGGGTGGTAAAAAAAGACCTTTCTTCTTCTTCTTTTTTTTTTTTTTTTAAATTTTATTTATTTATCTGAGAGAGTGAGTGAAAGAAAGAGCACATAAACAGGGCAGAGGAAGAAGCAGACTCCCCCGTTGAGCAGGGAGCCCGACACGGGGCTCGATCCCAGGACCCCAGGATCATGACCCTAGCCCAAGATAGATGCTCAACCGACTAACCCTCCCAGGTGCACCAGAAAAGACCTTTGTTGAGTGGTGACTGAACAAAGGTGAAATGAAGTGAGGGAATGAGCCACACAAAAATTGGGAGGAAAAGCATTAAGGAGAATGAAAAGAGAAAATCTCTGGTGCAGAAGTCGATTTTCTTGAGAAATGGAAAGATGAGCATTGTGTCCAGTGTGATCTCAGTAGGGACTGGTGGAGACTGAGCTCCAAGAAATAGGTGGGTCTTGCCAGAATCATTTGGGATTATATAAACCATATCCGATATCACTTATGTAAGAGCTTCAGTAGAATTTTCTTCTCGGTTCTTTTTTTTTTTTTTCTGGTTCTTAGTTTTTAGCATGCTTATGTGCTGCCCTCATTTAGCTTTAGATCTAGATATTCTAATTAGAAGCTATTAAACCTGCCTGGCAAAAATATCTGTCTTCCTACGAGAGTTTAATTAGATTTAGAAATTTTGTGCTTTAGTTGAAGTGCTTGTCCTAGTGAGTACGGAGTGAATATACAGGAATGAAAGAATTTGATAAGTTGGTTCTTTTTTAAAAATGTTTTTAAGTAATAATGAAATGTGCTTTGCACCAAAATATTACAATTCTGAATGCCTTCTTTGTACAGGGGCTCTTGAAAGTTGCCATAGATAATGCCAGAGCTCAAGAAAAACAAGTCCAACTGGAAAAAACAGAGCTGAAGATGGATTTTTTAAGGGAAAGAGAACTGAGGGAAACACTCGAGAAGCAGTTGGCTATGGAACAAAAGAATAGAGGTATTTCTGAATTTCCAAATAAGCCTAATACTTTCTATAAAATATATAACAGAACAGTACTCTATGTTTGGTGATTTACTATGAGACTACGTCTTTTTTGTTAATTTACTTATAGCTGAGGTTTGCAGCAGGATTTGAATCCTGGGCTCGTTGTGCTTTTTCATCTCCAGAGTATAGAGGAGTTTCTCTTCTATTCATACCTCAGGGAATTGAAATATATCTGTTATATCATTAGTCACATAATTTTTATTGCTGATAGAGCTTAACAAATAATTTTAAGATAAGAGTGAGCTCTGATGAGAGCCATGAGAAAAAATTTTATATTCATTCACAATTGCCTTTGAAAAACTTAAGAGTTAAAGTCATAGAGCTAACATAGAAAATACTGATTAGTCAAGTGAAGCAGATTTAGTAAGATATTTATCAACTGAAATTGAAGACTGATGAATATCTGAACAAATGACCAAAGTTGAGTGTTTGTATAATTTTTTTTCTGAATGCCTCATTTTCATCCAACAAGGTCAAGTACACATTAGTGTAGAAACCAATATGAATTTTTATTGGGTAAAAATAATGATATTACCAATCTATGAATTGCTTCTTCTAACACACTTTACAGTGCATGTATAGATAATTTTGAAGGTCATTCATATTTGTGTGTTTATATTATGTATGAGATTAAAAGTATTTTCTTTACAACCAATTTTCCCATTGCCTCAACTATATGATTCTCGTAAGTACTCTAGAGGAGGAGCACCTATTCCCGCATTTAATAAGTATCCAATAAAAATATTCCACATGTTCTCCTTTTATATGTTTGATACCGTCATTTGAAAATCATTGTTCCTGTTTTGTTTTTCAAACCAGCAAGATTTGGTAGGTTTTTACATTAGTTTTTATAAAGCAATAGCTAGTGGGTTCCTGGAATGAGGCTGATTTGGGAAAATCATCATCACCCATGTATAGCACTCATCTAGATAATGTGGTTTCACATAGATTTAGGTACTAAAGTAATGAAAACAAGATAAACATTAATAATGGGATGTGTTCTTTGTGGGTAATGAAGATTGGCCAAAGGTTTCATTATATAGAACCATCTTTCATGAGACAGCCATGTCTTGATCTTGTTCTCACCTGGAAAAGTCTTTTTTCTTTTCTTTTTTTCTTTCTAACAAGACTTAAAGGTAGACACTTAAATTCATAAAGTAATTCTTGGTTACTTGAGAGAACTTTAGAATTTTATTGGTTTGAATCATTTGGAAGACTTTCATTGTTTTTTTCTTTAACCACTAGAGGGCAAAACACTTCACAGATCACATCATGCACCTCCCATTTAATTAATTGTGAACAATAAATTAAAGGTAATAGCTATCAATAATTATCTATTATAAATGTGTCCATTGAAGCAGTGTACTACCCTGAAGAGAGAACATGACAGTACTATTCGATTCAATCACGGAAGAGGAAATAATAAGCACTCAATGGCAAGACACTGGGTATTGAGATTTTAGTCCCGTGGAAGTATACAATTCAAATAAGTAATTCAGAAATTACTATGTTTTGTTTTTTTTTTTTAAAGAGACTTATAAACAATCATCTTTGGAAAGGGATACAGCAGGCAAATGATTTTTGTTAAGATAAGCATACGATTTTCACTCTACTAAGTAATTAACATTTATTCAAAACCAGTTTTGTTTTTATTATAAGACTGTAGCCAACATGTATTTTGATTTTAAAAAAGTCTCTATTAATATATGTTACCAGCAGCAATAAACTCAACAAGTTAATGGTCTGCCACCTTAATAGTATTAATAATTATAAAAACGGGACATATGAAGATTAGAAATTAAAACAAATTCTTGCTTGAACCTTTATTATTTTATTTTATATTTTGACTAAATACTGCATTAAATAAAAACATTATGCTTTCATCTGTAGTAAGAAATCAAATAGTAAACTTGGAATGACTACTCCCTATGACTAATTCTACCAAAAGGATATTCTCTTACTGATTCTGTCATATTCGCATTCACATCCACAATGTTTATCAACCAGAAAAAAGAAGATTCCAAAGAAAAACATTTGTGTGCTCCCCTTAAGCTGACTGGTTACCTCATATGCATTGTGAAAACTAAAATAATGATCATACTGAAAGTATAGTTAACATATATTTGAACAGCATTTATTTGTTACTATTTATTGATTACATATTATATACAAATATTTAAATTGTCAAATAGGAGAAAATATAATTAACTTTTTGTATCATAATCTGGTTTTGTATATCAACCCCACATTAGTGTCAGCTGTAGCACATTCTTATCAATAAGGTTTTATACTCTACCAGATTTCAGCAGAGTAAAAGATAATTTTCTTGAAATATATTATAGCGCATATATATTTGCTTTGAAGAAATTGTTGATATCTCTGAGCAAATTACATTAGCTTTGTTCCCCCCAAAAGACAGCTCCTATGTTAATAATTAAGAATATTTGCCCCTTATATACAATCATATTTATTGCATTTTTTTTTTTAATTTCAAGAAAAAATTCTTAAAAACCCAACTGGTATAACTATTTAGTAAAACAGCTACAGGGGAAATGCTCCATTTACTATTCAAAATTGGTGCTTCATTAAAAGATAGAAGCACGCTTATAAAGGTTTGTATTATTCTGACTACTCTGCACTATTCTGATTTATTCTGATTCAAGGGCAGAGACTAATCCACAAAATTCATTTAATCAGGCTTCCTTTATCAGTGTATATAAATATTTACTAAAATTAATTTCCCCTTAAATCAGTCTCTCATTTGACAATTAAAGTCATCTTTGTAATAAGATAGTTCAAGGTTAAGTAAAAATTGGCCTCCTTGGATATTTTTCTGGGATTTATTTTAGGTAACGGTGGGATTTTTTGAACTTCCTCTGCATAGGTAGACTCTGTCCAGGAGGGGAGAAAAGGAAAAAAAAGAATATTATTAAAAAAAAAAAAACATAGATTATTTGTAAGCGTTGGTAATTTGGAGCATGGCAAAAACTTTTAAAAATATAATATATTAACTCTCTTTTCTAGCCATAGTTCAAAAGAGACTAAAGAAGGAGAAGAAGGCAAAGAGAAAATTACAGGAAGCCCTGGAATTTGAGACAAAGCGACGTGAGCAAGTAGAACAAACACTAAAACAGGCAGCTTCTACGGATAGTCTCAGGGTCTTAAATGGTAAGAGGGGGCATCTTTATGCATGGCTAACTAACATTCACTTATTAGCACTAAAAAGACAATTTCAACCTGTGTTTGTTGATATATATATATATAGAGAGAGAGAGAGAAAGAGAGAGAGAGAGAGAGATCTGTGTATCTACTATCTAGTGACTCATTCAACTGTGCTTCTAGCAGAAAGCCTGGTGGGCAGTCATCCCCCATGTTGGGCAATGCTTGATTTCAGAGACGCCTTCACCCGCCTGTTACCACTTAACTCGATTATCTGGAACCTGACATCGCTTTCCTGTGTAGCTAAGTCTGTTTCTACCAAAATAGGATAAATATTACTCGGAGAACGTCCCAACCCCATCCCATGTCGTGAACAATTTTGCGTTACTTATTGATCTCTCCAAATATTTTGACCATTCTTATGGTTCTAGTCTTTGTTAAACCTTTACAAGATGCCAAAGATTTATGTAATTCTAATACAGCACCCAAGTAACAGGTTGCTCTTTTTTTAAAGGACAACAGCATCAAATGAAATATGTGTCACTCTTACCTTTCTGTGCTTTTAGACTCTCTGACCCCAGAGATAGAAGCTGACCGCAGCGGCAGCAGAACAGATGCTGAAAGGACAATACAAGGTAGGAATTCGCAAAAGGCTATAAATCTAGATCTTGCTATATGAGTTTTTCCTCAGCTTCAGCCTGCTATTCAAGCATGTAGCCTACCATCTGGGCCACATCAAAACAAGTTCAAACAAGGTCAAGTTCATCTTGCTTGTTTATATGAGTGAATTCATTTTGTGCTGATAGATTTTCTTTAAATTAACAGGTCATTTCTGTTTATACAATGCAATTAAAAAGGAATAATTAATTTTAAACAATGTATGATTTAATCTTGGACACAGTAAATGTGCTTTGTTGAATGCTTGAAGCCCAGTCTAACGTGGGAAGGGTTTATAAGTTCTATACCATCTGAATAAAAGCATGGGTTAATCAGATAGGTAGTTCTTAAATTTGAAAATTTCTCCTTCTCATTTTTGTGACAGATACTGCAAGGTACATGCAAAATAGACTGGTTGAATGTTAACAATAAATAAGATTGTTTAGTCCTCTGTGGATTTTCTGAATGTTCTCTATGCCATTATATACATTTTAATAACACAAATCTGCTGAGCAAAATCATATATAGAATACTAAAGGGAGTTGTATTATACACTCAGAAGAACTAAATATGTATATTGCCGAGACCATACTATTAGGAAAGAACAAAATCTGAAGGTAACATTTATAGTCTAACATCTATTCTAGGCAATAAACTCAGTCTAACAACATGAATACTAAACAGTAAAAAGATCATTTGTTTTCTATTTTAAATGAAGATGGTTCTTCAAAGGGAAGCCTAAAATGATGAACTGCTATAATCCTCCCAATTGCTTTTATTTTGCATTTTAAGCTCAATCATTTTGGGGATATTGTTTGACATTAATTGTGCTACTTAATCAGCTCTGAAAGTGTCAACTTTGGTTTAGTGTAAAAGAAATATACTTTTGTAAAGTATCAAATATCCAATAAGTAAAAATCAGAAACTTGCAGGAACATTCCTGAGGAACATTTTTGCCTATATTTATTTTACCCGAAACCATGATAATTATTTTTTAAATCCTGAGGCTCAAACCATATGTTATTATGAGATATCTCCTTGTATATACAAGATTAATGCAATTGTAGATGTAGAAAAGACTTTTTTTTTCAGAGCATTATGGATATTAGCAAAATTATATGTGTGTGTTCATGTATAATCTTATTAAAATCATAAGATTTCTGTTGCATCTCTTTTAAAAGTCGCATACACATGTTAATATATGAGTAATAGCAAAGCCGGTCCTCTTTATCAGGGATGATAACCTCAATCAGGCCAATAGAAATATCAGCCCTGATTTGTGTGTTCAGGGACCACTCATGCATTAACTTAGCTAGTGGCCAAAGGCGGTCTAAAAAAGCCCATGAGTCTCCAGGTAGATGTGATATATAAATTATCTGTTATCTACAGAATCCTCAGGGTTGTCAAATCAATCCAAGAAAAATTATAGATAATACATTCCTGCATATTAATGGAAGATTTGTTTTCAATGTTAAGAAGTGATTAGTCAATGGTTAAACACCTTGCATAAGTGACATAATGTTTATTCCAGGAATTTGCTATCAGTAAAATTTTGGTCATCAATAAGGCTAGGGTTATTTTAATTTGAATTTGTAAAATTCACATATATTCAAATATACACATTAATATGCATAAACTCTTGCTGTATAAGGTTGAAGTTTTGACAAGTCCTCCTTTCTATTGTGATTTGCTTATTCCAAGTAAAATTTTAAATCATAAATTGCCTTCCTTTTGCTATCCAAAGTGTTCTCAGTTGGGTAACAAAGAAAACCCACCCAAACAACTTTATAATTAAGGCAATAAAACATTTGAAGAATAGTTATACATAGTGACTTAAAGCCAAATATAAATGATTATAGAGTTATTTAATGCTTTGCTTTAGCTGTAATATAAAATCGTAATCATTGAATTCACTTGTTCAGCCAATTAAAAATATGTTCCTTAATTCTAATGTGAACAATTAGCAATACTCTACTTCTTGTATACTTCAAAATGCATAATTAGTTTTCAGTAAAACCCCTAACTCATGTTCCTGGTTTTAATTAGATAATATGATTTTTTCTCAAATGTAATAAAAAATATGGATGAATCTGTATTTTTATGTTTTAGTGGCTAAAAAGGTCTTTTGCCAGGAGTTGAACCACCCAAGACTTTTAAAATATCAGGCAGACCCAAGAGATCATCTTTTGCTACTCTAACATCACTAAATAAGTTCTTTCAGCCCTCTGAGCCTTTTTTTTTTCCAAACCTAAGTCTAAATGAATACATTTCGAAGCCAAAAGAACAAAATTAGCTGTGAACAGAAGAAATCAAAGATAAAAAACTAGTTAGTTAAGTTCCTAGTTGAAGCACAGCAATGGGAAAGGCAAAGAAGAAAGAACTGGAACTCATTGTTAATTTGTGAAATGGTCTACGTCATGCATTTGGGAGCCATGAGCACCTGCCGCGTCACGGTGTAAAAACAACACAAACGTGGCCTGTTCCTCCCTTTGCTTTCTCCGTTTTGGTGTCCCTAAGCCTAGGTGTTATGATACTCTGTGTTCTTTCTTGCTCCTGGTCCAACCATAAGTGAAATTATTCTGTGTTCCAAAATAAACTGAACTTAGGAAAAACAAAGGAAACCCACATTTCTCTATGCTTGTCATGTATTTATTTATTTTTAACATTCTGGCAATAAATAAATGCCATGCTTGGCCCAAGAGTTAGTCACCTAGCAGTTGGGCACTTAAATACTGCTCAAGTGCCAGGTAATTACCCCCAAATAAGCACCTCAGGTTAGTTAGACTAAACATTGCCTCATTGGCATTTAATACCACCCTTTCTGTAGAACTATAGAGGAGGGGAGGAGGGAACCAGACAGTAGTTTAGAAAATATTCCTGAGTGAAGAGGCCCTAAATAATGACTTACTTGTGATAAGTAAAGTAAATCAACTCATCCTACATAGGGATAGATTCTTCATTGTTGATATTTCTAGTAGCTAACTCAAAAATTCATGAGTTTGGTGGCGATATTATGGATAGAGAATAAATATCAAAAAATTAAAAAAAAAAACTTGTTTCGGGAGCTGAATTATATGGTGATTAACTCTCATGCCTTGGATCTTGCAGATTTATATGGCATGATTTGTGTTGGAAAATTTTATCTTACTTTAAAGTTTTTTGTAAGATCTTTTGAATATGCAGAGTAGACTGTGTTCTTATAAATACTCCTTGGAAACTGTTTTGGACTATTTAATAAATACCCTCCAAAACCCTTTCTGCCCCCACACATATGAATGCCCATCCCCACACTGTCTGTAGCCAAATCTATAATACGAGGGCTTTCTGGAGCTATGTTCTAATTTCTTTTTAATCTCTCTCCCTGGCAATTGCACCCACTTAGATGGTTTGTTTAACTTATATGTTTTGACAATTAAAAAAAATACATCTCTCTCCAGAGCATTCAGACATTTCTTAAGAGGTCCAGGTTATACCCAACTTTTATTTGGCTGTCTTGCAGGCACTGCAAGGTCCAGTGCACAAAATCAAAAGGATCGTTCACTCCCAGCAAACCTCTCTTCATCCAGTGTTCCTTCCCTATGGAACTGTTATCTGCCCAGTCCGGCATCCTCAATCTATACTAAGGAAGAGCAGAGCACACATTTCCCTCTCTCATCCTCCACACCCAGTTACAGCTCTTCCCCTTGTCCTGGAACCCTCTCTTCTTTTTTTTTTATTTCCTGAAAGCCCCACAACTTCCTCCACCTATCAGGGACATGATTCCTTCCTCCTTGTCTTTACATACCCAACATTGAAATCTCATTTTTAGAAGCTACTGCTTCCACGAATGCTTCCTTGAGATTCCACCCCCACCCCTGCAGGACCTCCCTGCCGCCTGGGTCTAATTCAGCCTCTGGAGGTTCTTACCATACCTCTCACTTCTCCACAGTCTCCTGCTGGGCATTTGTAGTTCCTTGTTCAATGTCTTCTTCCTCTCTCTGGAAGGTAGCCAAGAGGGTGTGAACCATGTCTATTTTGGTCACTACTGTGACATGTATGTTTGACACATATGTATGAATGTGTCACGTGTTTATGCCCCATTTACAGTGCTGAATGTTTGCTACACCGTGAAAGTAGGTTATCTGCCTTAGATGACTTAGGACCTGATTGATTTTGTGAATGCCAAGGGTCCTCATTGTTCTGACATTTCTCAGACTTTGGTTGGAGAGACAGATGTAAGGAAGTGAAGGATAATATAATTTTACCTCAGAAAGTCAGAATTACAAATTTGGGTAGAATTAATTTTCATTTATCTGATTGCTGCATTAACAGTATGTGTTTAGGCTTCTTGTATGTGTGCATAATGTTACTTTTTTGTTTGTACATTCGACATAAGATTTGGATTCTGTAAATATGCACTTATACCCACTTTTTTCCATTTTAAATATATATTAAATTTAACACGATGTGGTCGCATTTCTTAAATAATACTTTCATCTGTTGTTTAATGTATGTTAACCTTAAGCTTCTTTTTTAATTGCTTATAATTTTACATGAACTAAATATTCTTTATAAATTATTTAGGTTATCAATATATTGATGAACTATAACATAGGACAATCATGGGTTAGTGCTGTTATATCTATGTCTTTTATCAATTTTAAGAGTTGGAAAGTTCACTTTCAAAATAGTAACTTTGGCTTCTTTTTAAGAAAACCTGTCTTTTTAAACCAAAAAAGAATTGGTAGAATCAATGGAAATGTAGACCATAGTTCCTCTGACATCTTAGAATATCTGCAAGTTATGCTTGCAAAATCTTGACTTCACTTGAAAGTACATCTCTTTTATTTATATCCAATGGCCATAATCAAAACTGTTTGGCTTTTTATTCTTTTTTTGACTGATCTCAGATCATAGAAAATCAAATATTCTTCCAATAAAAGGACATAAAAGACGAGCCTTCACATTAACAATCTTTTTTTCCCAATTAAAAAAAAAC